TTGGCAAAATTGTCCCTCAAAGCAGCTTTTTCTATAGAATTCTTGATTCTGACAGTACTGTAGACAGTGTACTAGATATAGCTACAGTTCTAGGCTTTCATACCGTATACTGTTATCAAGAAAATTCCAAATTTAGAACGAGAACTTGGGTTTCAAAGGAAAGGAGGGGAAAACCTGTGAAAGTTCAAGAGAATTTCCAATACACCTCGATCCTCTCAACATATATGGGGGCTCTGAGAAGTCCTCATTAGTAATTAATCTTGAGAAAAGAAATGCAAACCCCAATTAATATGCTGGCGAGCTAAATGGCACATTCTAAAATTCTATATAAATTAGCTCTTAGTAAACATTTCTGTAAGCCGTGCTAGTCATAGATATTATGGAACTTGCTTATTATTGGGGTGTTACAAATGTTTTAAATGCACAAAGAAGGAAATTTAAGGTGGCACCCACCATTGGGTGCCATTGTCCCACGCGGCGAACATAGTGGCACCCACCGGTGGGTGCCATTGTCGTCAAAGGGTTAATCTCGCCATATAACCCACACCACATTGCAAAGTAAAAATGTCCGCATTTTTCGCGTTTTCGATGGTTCCTTTTCATTTTTCATAGATGGCCCTTAGTCCACATCGTGATCCTATTTCCACTGTCGCGCTCTCACCCCTCTAACTTGATTCTGGCTTTTGACTGAGGATAGCGAGTTCTGATCTCGATCTAAAACTCGATGTGCCAAATTAGGAAATGCTGAACCCCATTTCCTATCTCTATCACCAGTCACATATCATGAAAACGACTAACCAGACCAGGATTGATCTGCTGCATGTAGCCCACATATATGGGCTTCATCGACTGCCGGAGGAACCAATCCGTTACTGGAAAAGCCAAGCATGATTCATTCTCTTTTCCGATGTGAGAGTCCTTCTATATAGTAGAGATAACTATAAGGATCATAAAAAAGCCATTTTCCCTCTGCATTTGAAAGAATTAATCATACATTGCTAATTCAAAGTTGACTACTCCCTGATGGGAATTGAATGGCACATTGTCTTACACTAAAAAATTATTTCGGCTTTCTACAGATATTTAGGGATTCTGCCAAAATGGGAATATGGTGAACTGCTTGAGCTTAGCGAGGTCTTCGATAAATCGTGTTCCATCATTAACTTTACCTAAATCCCAGGTATGTCAAAAGGGGTTTTCACTGGGTATGAAACGGGTTTTCACTGGGGTCACTGTCTTTGAGGAAGTGCATATTATTGAATGGATTAAAGCAACAGTCCCAGCAGGGTGGGCGTGGTCGGAAACGACTGCAATCCCCTCGGCCGATTCCGACCACGCCCACTTCAGCTCCCCCTAGCGGCTTTCCAAGGTGAGTTTTTGTTCAGTCACACTTCTTACGTTCTTGACTAGGGGCTGAACAGCTCCGAAGTGGGAATCGGCCGAGGGGATTGCAGCCGTTTCCGACCACGCCCACCCTGCTGGGACTGTTGCTTTCAGCCAATGAGGTAGCCGCTTCAAACTGCAGCATTTCAGGTGCGCCTTATGCATCTCAACGGCGGTGGCAGATGACGCCGTAGAGTAGTTAGGGAAGGCTCGCCTATTCTTAGTGAGGGTCATTCAAGAAAAAATTTTGCTGTAAGACTTTCATAAACGACGGCACCTTCTTAAGGAAAGTTTTGCATATGTGCGCCATGGGCAAGTTTTTTGTTGTTGCCCCCCCCTCCCTACAATTCAAGCCGGCGGACATCGAGAACCAGAGCACACAAGCGCAATATGTTGGGCGCACTTACCATACGGCTGGGGTGCACAGGCGACATTGATGGACTAGGAAGCACAGCGCTGTGAATACCAACAACATTTTTTGTTATGAATATTAGTGAAGCTTCAACCTCTTTTATATGCACAGAAACAGTGCTATTTGGTCACTTTCGCACAGAGTACATTTTCGAATTGTTCGTATGTTATACGTTCGAATTATTACTTCATTTATTGTAGTCATTTGTCCTCGGGACGCATTGAAGTGACGTTTCTCGTAATTTAGTTAATCTTGTTTACTGATTTTTGTAAGCACGTCCCCCTCTATCACAGATCCACTGATGACGCTCATAACTGTACTAATGGAAGTGTATACAATAGTTATCGCTTCCGCAGAACAGCCAAAGAAATTATCAACATCCACTTTCGCATGAAACTTTGTAACCGATAGATTTGAGAATAGGAAGGCAGTTGTCAATCGAAAAGCGTGAAAGCCTCAAACGTGTAAAATTTTTGTCGGACTCCAAAACCGACAGCCCCAATTCGGTACTCGCACCATCGGCAAACGTTTCATTTTTCTCCTCTTGAGTGCTCTCCTTCGGCATTTTTCTGATTCCGAGTACTCTGAACATATTTTAACACAATAAAGACGGCGTGCTGCCACGCGTAAATCCACATAACACGCATAGGTGGCGCACGACTATTTCTTTTGTTTTTGGAATGTTTCTAGCAATCTTAATATACCCATATATACTCTCAGCAATGTGGAATAACATATCTTCCCAGGACCTGGACGGCTGGATTTTTGACAAACCTACAATAAATTTTACATACATTTTGTCTTAATTTACATAAGTTTCTACTATTTGATGGGTGGCTTACCCATGGTTCACACTTCTCCGAGACCCCTTCCTTCCCCTAAATATAGCCACATCCTTGCTCGGGGTTGTTGTTTCGCATTTTTCGATAATGTCACCTACAGCTTCCATTCATTCTTTGCACCCTAGTTTTAGAGCGGAAAGGCGGGCTACGAACTTGTCGTCAACGGAAATCTCTTTTTTCGGATGATGAGACTCCGACACCTACTTTAGCCCCGTCTTACCCCTGCTGTTCACATAAGCCTACATAAACCCTACCCTGGGTGGCGGCGTGCGCCACCAGTGGCGCACGCGAAAAATACATCTTTTTCGCCTTATGGGTTAAAGACTCCGAAGGGACGATGTCTTCTTCTCCTTTGTCACAACCTGGGCTTCGTTATCTAAACAGTAACGGCTACTTCGCGTCAATTCTTTTGTTTCCACAGACACACCCTATGTTCATTATATCCTCCACAATTGGTCAGTGAGAGAGCGAGGAGAAACCAACCATCAGAGCCGACGAATTCACACCGCTGATCAGCTCGTTTCTCGTAATAAAATCAGGATAAGCTAATGGTATGCTTCGTCCCTTGAACTGCTTCTTAGGCAACTCAAAAGTTCTTATATTAGGTCGGTCCATAAGTCTTGCAACAAACTACATTTAATGCTATAGAAAATTTGGAGAACTCACTCTATATATACTCCGCAACATATTTCCTATACGTACCATCGAACCTTTGCAACATACACCAGCCAACGTCAGCTTACGTTTCCTGCCTACTCATAACCATGAGTTTACACCGATACTTCGCGAAGAAGGGCTCTCAGTGCCCCTAATTTTTACATATACTAACCTCGCTTCAAATGGTCGCAAGTAAGTAGAATAAAGGTATTGGCCTAAGATATCCGAGGGAGCACGCCAGCTCTCTCAATCACAGTGCAACGGCGCTTCACTCTGCTCAGCGTTGACTTTTTTTTTTGAAAATAACCCACACTCCAACCACCCTGTGACTGACAATCACGATGCTCTATCTGACGCCGTTGAAAAGGGATCTGGATAGAGTATCGATCATTTGCTAGAGCGATTCCGATGCGACAAGGAGACAGCACTGTGGCATCTCCAAAGACTTGTGAAGATCCGAAAATGTAGAGTTTGGTTCCCCACGTGCACTAGCCCAGATTTACGTTTCCAACAACCACGTATCTGACCATCACTAGTTAACAGTCGACCTCTATCTAAGGGATTTACTACAATTGACACACCACACAATTTGCCCGAATATAGAAATAGGTATAGTTAGTGTCTAACCCAATTAAACAGCCAAGGCGTAGTCCAGTTCAAGCCTTCTAGACTTATTGCCTTAAAGCAACAGTCCAGGCAGGGTTTCAACTACTTGGTCATTAGGCGGTCAAAACATGCCCCAGCCCAACTAAAGTTTATAGGAAATGTCTTTAATTTCAAAACCTACCTCTAAAATGCGCTGGAAGGGGTCGAAGTCCTCTTGGAGGGGGCGGATCACCCATAAAGAGGCGGATCGCCCAACATACGCTGTGCAGAGTCCGCGCTTGACTAGCGATCGTTGCGGGACCGCCGCGCTGTATGAGGTCGATTCCATAAGAACGCAATTGAAGCGCTTCAATTTCGATTGCTGGCAAGTAGTTATGTATTTGCAAGCATGCAGCTATTTGCCAGCAGTTGCAATTGGAGCGCATGTACTACGGGCAGGTTCGGACAACTCGTCCAACACACGTCTCCCTAAACGGCAGGGCATGTCCCTGTCTAAGCCCCAGTTGGGCGTTTTCTTCACTTTTTCTCTTTACGTTCGACCACTTTTCACCTAACAACTTCCATATAGGTGCTTTTGGCCCGCAAATTCGTTCCTGGACTGTTGCTTTAAGTTCAACCTCGTCCAAGTAGGGCCTTCTCGGATTTTTGGTGGAACACGGGAGGAGTTAAGCTCTGGAAACCCCTCCGTGTAGATGTCGCAGTCAACGCGAAAGTCAACTATCCACAGCTCGAATGCAACGCTTTAATACGAAAGAAAAACAAGGCAAAGTTTGCTTTTGTATGACACCGTTGAAAAACCTCTTGCTAAGAAAATTCAGGAAAATTTCGAGACTCTGGGACGGAGAGTTCTTCCGTATTCACGTTATAGCCCTGACCTCGAGGCAAATAATGCCCTTCTGCTCCCCTCTCCAAACCATCTCCTAGAGAAGAAAGCTCATCCTAACTATGATGATGTCAAAATCGACATCTGATCTTTCTTCGATCAGAATTCAGTAGAGTCCTACAAGGGAGGCATCGAGCAGCTACTAGTGTGTTGGCAATAGGTTGTAGATATTGATGGAGGGTAGCATGCCGGATGAATGGAACAAAAAGATAATGAAAATATTAAATTCAAAATTCGGCCAGTTTGTTGCAAGACTTATGGACCGACCTAATAATTTACCTTACGCTTGCTTT